CTGCTTTTGATCTTGGGTTACTGGAAAAAAAAAAAAAATCAGGAAAAAAGTTGTCCTTTATAGCAAAGTGTAGCTCATGTTGATATTCTATCCCCCACAATTTCTTTATACTTCTGTTCTTTGTGGGGAGGGGGCAGTGGGGTATGGTCATTGTGCTTTAAACTATCCATAGCTTGTAAGGTGTATTTTGGGAAATTATCCTGAGGAACAATCACATTAGATGGTGATACCCATTTAAAAATGATTTCAGACTAGCTAGACTAGGGCTTTCTAGCTTAGTGTGATGCAGACAGACATTTTGTCTGTATTAATGAATAAAATTAACATAATAAAACTTAAGCAACATACTATAATGTATACTTTGCTCAACTTGCAAACAGTCATGCTATACTTTACTTGTGTAAGGAATGGTACCGAATTCAAATTTCACAGAGCAGATTTATTTCTATCTTAAAAGGATCAATTACAATGCCATAGGATCAAAATTAAGAGTATGTGTAGGAGATTGTAGGATTGGGACCTAGAAATGAATCTAAAATCCAAAAACAAGAGATTTCTTTGACAGAGGGAGAGAAGACAAAAAATGTTTAAGTAGCAATTTTCAAACAATAAATCACACTAATCAAAAATATACTGTAAATCCCAGAAAGTTAATTCTCTACTAAAAATAAATGCTGTAAGTTTGGGGATGACATATGTAAACAACAAATATTTAATTCCTAGTTTAAATGGTAATCTCAATACAATCATAACTACAGGGATGCCACCAGTCTGATTAATACTTTAGATATATCATTAATATTTCTGTAAGGCTCCATAATGCATTGTAGGTGAACATGCCTCTTTAGACTTTTAGGTTTAAATAAGCAGGACAATCATTATTTCACAACTATCACTTCTAATTAATAAACAAATGAGCCCTCAAGCCTTGCTCAATTTTTTGACAATCAGGCTGAGAAAGCAACATGTGATATTATCATTATTTCCGTCTTAATGATCACAAGACAGCTGTAAAATTTTACATCTATCTTCCATGTAGGCCAACTTCCTTGTTTATTTTCTATTTCAACATAAGTATTTCTACTGATAACATTTCTTACTTATCCAAGGCTATTAACATCCTAGCAGTAAGTGTAGCAAAGTGAGCACTGGATTCACTGCAGACTCTCATGATGTCCTGTAAACAGTAGAAAACTGGACATCCTGGACTGTATGTATATTTTGTATTATCTGAAAAGGAAAGGGAAACACTGAAAGTATTTTAATGGAAACAGGTATCTTGTTTACAACTTTTACCTCTTTCATAATTATATAATTTCAGCAAAAAGAGATAATATTCTATTTTTAGACTACAGTAGATTTCACTTTTCCCAGATGGTAACTTATACAAATTGCATACCGTTCTTAACTAACAGAGTTCAGTGTAGACCAGTAGAGTGGCCTTAGCTTAACTATAAAATATTATTTTAGTGTTCTTCCATTATGATCATGTTCACTTTCAGAGTTATTGAAATATCTGTGTATACTGTTAAAAAAAGACTATCAGTCCCAATAAAGACCTTAGGACTGACACGATGTTTATTTGTTAACCTTCATATTTGAAACATATTAGAAATAGCAAAGGGGCAAGTTCCCCAAGAGTACATTGAGAATTTCCTTCAGACTTTGCATTTATTTTAGTTCTTTATTACAGCCTTCAGAGAATTCTTCACCATTCCTTACTCAGGCAGAAAGGACTCAGACTTCAGTGGGTACTCTTCTCCAAGCAAGCAGTGTTGAAAAGAGTATTTTTTAAGTTTACTAACATCTACAACACTTTTAAATGTTTCCTTGATGAGTATATTTCATAATAATAAATTAGCTATGACAGGTAAGATTTTAACAAATACAAGATATATTTTAAAGAACATTTAAATTCTTTTAATTTTATTTTAGGAGTTTGGAGAAAAAAAACAACAACATAAAGTTGTCAACCAAAATCTAATTTTCTCAAGCCTACACACAAATATCAGAGCCATCTAACATCACATATTTATGTTAGAAAATCACCATTTAATTTCCTTTTGAGTACATATAACTTCAAGAATTCTCCTAAATGTTACCTTTGACAACTGCTGGAACGACATAAAGGGATGCTTCCTGGCCTGCCTTCTCCCCTTCCAGAGGAAACTTCTTCATTAACACCACTCGCTTTCCTATTGTTAAAAATTGAAAAAACCAACAGAGCCGGATGGTCAACTGGACAATAACTGGCAGCTTAATTCTTTTTGGGTCATGTCCTATCACGTTTCAATAATTCTTAATTAATTGTTCCATCTTGTTTCCAATACTAGTTCCTGAAAACTATGGTAACCTAACTGATCTTGAGCAGCTGAATAAACATATGCATACATCAACATACATATGAAAGACCATTAACAGGTAAGCTATCCCATTATTTTCAGGCTCTTTATATGACTTTTTCCATGCCTCTAACCATTCTGGCTGACCTTCTCCAAGCCATCTCTAAAATCTGTAATATCCTTTTTTAATAAGGTTACAAGCACTGCATGGCTTTCATATGAAGGTGAACCCTGGTTCATACAATACCAGTATAATTAGGGACCTATCTGATTCACAGGGGCTGCACCAAAATTTCATGTGCAGAATACAGGCATAGCCAGCCGTTTCACAGGCAGAGTGTGGTGCCACCCCCCACCTCTGTTTGGTTGAGGGGCCTTGGTTGCCCTGCCCCTCACCACTGATTAGCTACAGTGGCTGCCTGTCACGTGGCCTCAACCCTCACCACTGACTGGCTGCAAGTGCCATCCATCATGCAGCATCACCCCTTGCTGCTGATTGGTGGTGAGGGGTGAAGCCACATAACAGGCAGCTCCACATGGCAAGTAGCTCTTACAGCTAAACAGTGGGTAGGGGCAGGGTTGGGGGTGGCAGGTATCTTGCCAGTAGCCTTTAGAGTAAATACTGTAAGCTTTGCTGTCAAATTACTTCTTGCTGGTTTAACCCACCACCAGCTCCTTGGCAAGCTGCCACAGTCCTCAGTTCCCCTCCCCAGCAGATTTCATGGACAATGCCAGATTTTGTAGAATCCGCAAAACAGCAAATCCAGTAGGTCCCTAATCATAATAATTTCCATACTATTCTCTATTCCAGCTTTATGGACCCTGACATTGTATTTATTTTTCAGACTTTTGTTGAGCATTAAGCAGGGTTGTTACTGGGTTGTGTAGACTGGTGCCCAAGTTGTCTTCCGATGTAAAAACGCATGTTAATTTATAACCATGAAGATATATACCAGTAGTTCAGATTTTTCCCTTCCCCACACATTACTTTATATTTATTAATATTGTATATAATTTGACACTTTGTTGCCCATTCATCTAGCTCCCTTCCCTTCCCCTGATTTGACGTTTTTAACACCTCACTACCTATTCCTTTCTCAACTGTTACTAATTCCATGCCCTTGCCTGTAGTTAATGTAACTGAACTGATAAATCCTTGCTGGTATAGACCCAGTTAAACCAGCAAAAAGTAATTTGACATCAAAGCTTACAGTATTTATTCCAGAGCTTTTGGCAGCATAGCTATATCAAAATAAAAAAATTATCCCCTTCCTAATATACATAGCTAAACTAGCAACAATTTTAAGTGCAGAATTGGCCTATTAATGTAACACTGGCTTAGTCTGGAGGCTCAAGACACCTTTCTGTTAACTTTTTACAATAATAAAAATTAAATTTTGTTATTTGTTCTCTTGTCTCTTGGTCAGTTTTTGATCCATTACAGTACTTTGTCTCTCATCCACTGACTATTAAGTTTCTTTAGTAGCCTCTACAAAGCAAACTTATCAAAGATAAGTAAATAAAATACCAGCTGATTCTCTTTAATCCTCTATTTTTACTGGTCAATCAACAGCTTTTTGTTTTTAAAGAAATACAAGAATTCTTTTTTAAAAGAAAATAAAGGATAGTGAGAGGTTTCAGCTGCAGGTTTATCTTGGTAAAACTTTAATTGTTTATCAACAGTAGACCTATTTTCAGTAGTAAAGCATATTACAGAGGAACAATCAACAAAAATGAGAAAACAGTCCTTACCTTTTATACCTTGATTGGCTGGTGAAATTGGTTTGGTGGTTTCTAATACATAGTCCAAAATACTCTGAGTTACTTCAGTACCTCCCTGCAGTTTAGTTTCCAGCAAAACTTTCTTTCTTTTTTTCTTTTGCCCTTCAATGGGAACTTCAAGCAACAAAATCTTGAAAATAACAATAAAATTGAAGGATTAATTAAGCATTACTGAAATGTGATGGGACATGTTTATTTTTATTTATTTAAAAGCAGGACCACACCATTTTATTTAAAATTGAAATTATTAGTGTTCTATGCTGAGTTTCCTAAATAGCCAAAAATATATAAGGCACTCAACCAATACAGTAAGGGCATTTACACATGTGATCTGGGAGATGGGGAAGGGGGAGAGTGCTTTAATTAGAGTAGCTCCAAGAGACAGTCTAATTAAAGTGCCCAAAGTGTCACATCCTGCACTGAAAAATGGCAGCAGGGGCACTTTAACTAAAGCCACAAAACAAGCTTTAGTTAAAGCGCCCCTGCTGCCATTTTTCAGGGCAAGGACATTGATACACATGATGCTGAAATCTGCTGGAGCACAGTAATTACCATGCTCCAGAAGACTCAATTAATCGAGTCTGCTCGAATACGGTGTAATTACTGTGTGTCAAAGCAGCCTCAATGTATATGTATAGGCACCCTAAATGGTTTTAAATTTACTCCTCCTTGCTCCTGCCCCATTTTTCATGAGATTCTAGCACTTTATTGTTGACTTCACATGCAGACTTCACTCTAGTGAGGTACAGGACTTGTCTTCAAAGAACAATTTACAGTATGCACTCCATTTTTATTTTTAATACTGCAGAAGCTGAATATCATAAAATGGTACTTTAATAGGAATAAATACTGTCTTATGATAAAAGTTTGATTTGTGTTATTTTTATATCAAACAAGTTCAAGTAACAGAAGTATAATGGTCATTATAGACATAAGTTTCTATTTATAAAATATTAGAAAGGGGTAGATAAGGATTCCAAAAGTGTGGGCTTATGGTATTTCATCACAAATGTCCTAATTAGTCAACTGCAAAAACAGTAACAAAATTCAAGTAGCAATGAATGCACCAGAACATGGGGAGAGCTGTGGATGTGATATAGCTTGATTTTAGCAAGGCTTTTGACACTCACTGTCTCCCACAACATTCTTATTAACAAGCTAAAGAAATACAGACTAGATGAACATACTGTAAGGTGGATACATAACTGGTTGGATCATTGTGCTCAATGAGTAATCATCAATGGCTCAATGTCTAGCTGGAAAGAAGTAGCAAGTGGACTCTGTCCTGGGTCCAGTATTCACAGGCAACTGGTGCCTCCTGAGCGGCAGAGGGGGACGGAGGGGGAGTGCAGGGGAAGGTGCAGGTTCCCCCACAGCTGATCATGCTGACCTGGAAGTGCCAGCGGCATGCCCAGAAGTGCTAGGGGTGCTTCTCCTGGCACCCCCACTCCCTAGCCAGCACTCTCAGAGGGAGCACCAGCCCTCCTGCCTGCCCCCCCTGCTGTTGCCTAAGCAGGGAACGCTGGCTGTCAGGGGGTGCACATGCACCCCCATGCACCTCCTATGTGTCGCCACTGCCAGTATTGTTTATCTTCACTAATGATTTTGACGATGGAATTAAGTGCACACTTAGCAAATCTGCACATGAAACCAAGTTGGGGGGAGCTGCAGACATTCTGGATGGTAGTGCTAGGATCCAGAATGACCTAGATAGACTGAAAAAATTACCCATTATCAATCACATGAGATTCAGTAAGGACAAGCGCAAAGTCCTGCACTTGGGATGGAATAACTGTATGCACAAATACAGACTGGGGAATGATTGGCTAGACTACAGTACTGCAGAGAAAGACCTGGGGGTTACAGTAGACCTTAAAACTGAATATGAGCCAACTATGCATCAAAAGGCCAACAGCATACTGGGTTGTATTAACTGGAACGTTATTTGCAAATCAAGGGAAGTGATTCTTCCATTCTATTTAATGTTAGTGAGGCCTCACCTGCAGTACTGTGTTCACTTTTTGCACCGCACTTCAAGAAAGATGTACGCAGATTGGAAACGAGTCTATCGTAGAGCAACAAAAAATTATGAGAAGCTTGGGAAGCGTGATTTATGAGGAAAGGCTGAAAGAGCTAGTATTATTTAATCTGGCAAAGAGAAGACTGAACAGAGATTTAATAACAGTCTTCAAATGACTGAAGGACTATTATAGAGACAATGGAGATGGGTTTTTCTCAATGGCCATAGGGACAAGAGTAGGAGCAAAGGCCACAGGTGGCAGCAGAGGAAATTAAGTTGGAGATTAAGAGGAACCTGTTGACTATGAGGGTGGTCAAGCACTGGAACAGTCTACCTAGAGAAGTTGTGGATTCTCCATCCCTGGAAATTTTTAAGAGCAGGCTGGATGGACATTAGGCTGGGCTGGTTTAGACAAGGATGATTCTGCCTTGAGCAGGTGACTGGGCAGGATGACTTTGGGAGGTTCCTTCCATCCCTACTTTCCTATGATACTATGTTCTAGAATGTCAAATTCATATGAATACCAATGACAAAGAAATGGAAAGTGGCAAGACCCCAATCCTGTGCTGAGTTCCTTAAGAGAACAGGTGTAGTTCCTTAAGAGAACAGGTGTTCATCAGCACAGAATGTTGTATGAGTTGATAGTTTTACCTCTAAAGGTCTCACTCTGCTAACACTTGTACACTACATGTATGGCAGCATTGGTATAATGAGATTCTAAAACAGAAACTCTGATGTGTTCTTGCCAATTTGTTGCATGGAGGTTTTACATCCTGTTAATTTTAAAGCATTGGAGAATGTTTAGTTTTGGAAACACTTCAGAAACTTAAGAGATGTTTAATTTTTTTGTGATACATGTTATGCTTCTGATATTTGTTTAAGCTGTAACATTTCCTACAATTTACTATTTGTTTGGTTCCTTGCTCAACAGTACATTTCTTACAGGACTTTGACCAAGTCACTTAGGGACAGTCAAATCAGTGGGGGTTAGGTGGGTAAACATATTTTGTATCTCTGTTTTGTCTTATCTGTGCTTCAGGTCCTGCTCTGTAAAATTACCTCTCAGGAATGTTGTGATGATAGATACATTAAGAAACCGGGGCCTTGTCTGCATTGCAAATTTCTGGTGCCAGATAGTAGCCTTCTCAAAAACGCTGTGCTATTCTAGATGGTCTACCTCCTGAACTGAAAGAAGTGCCACTGTATCTGTGTGGTTATGCCTCAGCTACTTAGCACTGCTTGTTCAGAAGGCAACTGGAGCAGGGTAGCATGTCTGAGGATACCACTGCTAGCATACTGGGCCAGATAAACAGTGAGAGACAGAGATTTACTTTCTGAGTAACCAGAACTGTTAGCTAATACAAGTTTGTTTCTCAGTTTCAGTCTCTTTAATTTTTCAAACATTAAATTGAGGAAAATAAAGTATTTTTACTTCATATGATTTAGCTCGATATTCCCGAGAATTCAGGCTAGCAGTGTTCTTTGGACGAATCACAGCAACATACGTCTCTCCAATGTTTTCTGGGTTGCCCATGGTTTGTTCTTTTCATTTAGCACTGGAGATGGTGAAATAAACAAAAAGCAAAATTTAAGTTTAGGAAACAAGATGAAACAAAACAAGTGTTATGCTAGCATAATTATTTTCATTCATTATATTCATCCTATTTAAGAAAGTTTATTCATCTTTTTTTCTTATGAGGAAAAACATCAAAAACATCATTGTTAAAATTTATATTCCTTTTCAAGCACTAAGACCATGAATGGGTGAAAAAAAATGTTCACTGTACAGAACTACTACGAGTAACCCTGTTCTCTAATTTAGTTTTAAACTGTAAGAATTAGGAACCCTAAAGTTTTAGAGGTATGTAGAAACTGATACTTATTTTTAAATGTATTAATGCCATATGTAATATTTACAAAGTACCATATTTCCATCAGTTTCTCTCAAGAAAAACTTGAATCCCTATTTTCTAACAAGAAATAGAACACAGTCTTGTCTAGAGCCCAGAAATAGAGCTGTGCAATATCAGTCCTAAAATGCAATATCAGAACTTATTTATTTGAATGTCAGTAGGGCACTTTGTGAAGCAGAGGTCTCTCCACACAGCTTACTGCAGTATTGGAACTGTACACATTTTAATTGACAGATCCTTTTTAGAACTTCCTTTTACCAAAATAGAGTATAGAAGCCCCCTTGTAATTCTAAATTCTTGCAAAAATATAATAAAACAGAATCCCCCACTAAGGCTAACTATAATTCCCTTTACACTTTAAACTGAAATACAAAGTCACTTCTGCCCCTTGGCCCATTTCAGCTGATCTCCTCTCTCATCAAGAAACGAAAACTCTTTCATTCTGTAGGATCAATAAATATAGATTATATGTAAATTTGTGCCACTATCAAATGGAGATGTTATCATTACAGTTTACAGCTTGCAGTGCTGCTGCACCTGTTCTGAGGAGAAATAGAGGGCTTCAGTCTCCCATGTACTGAATCCAGGAAACTTCACCAGCACTATATTAACTGAAAAATGCAAAGGAAAAAATTATAATTAAAAGTAAACTTTAAAAAATGAAACTGAGATTAATAAATGAAAAGGTCCATTTTAATCTCTGGTTAACATATCTGTCTGAGCTAGTCTGAATGATGTTGCTACTTGAAAAATAGGCTGGGGTGGATGTCTGCATTAAAAGAAGAATTTAGGAGCCATGATCAAGTATCCAGGTCTCATTTGTGGAAGGCACTGCACAGACATTTTATAAGCATCCTATTTCTAGGAGCTTACAATCTACATGACTGACAGGAAGCATCAGTGGAGTGAAAGAGACAATGTGGGTTTGGGTGGACAGGAAGAGGTAACAGTAATATGAAGAGGTTCTCAAATGTCACAGCTCACTGTTTACCTAACCAGTGTTAAACTGAAGTAATGTAGCCCCACCATACATGTTACAGTTATTGCACAATTAGCTTGCTAAATGTGCAATTAACTGAAACCAGATACACATGCAAAGCATCTATCATGCCATTAAAAGATCCAAGTAGCTACAAAGTTATACCTTGGAAACATGTACTAACTTTACAGCTGGTTGGTACCCAGATTTTATGCAGCAGGGTTTCCCCTGCGGCTGGGAGCCGAGTAAGCTGACGGGGGGGCTCTAAGCCACAGGGGTGCACCATACCCAGCCAGAACTGGGAGTCCTGTAACTGCAGGGGTTCTCAGCCCCAGCAATTGCCAACTCTCGATCCTGGTGGTGCCCCATGGCTGAGGGGATCCAGAGTTCTCCAGCTGTGGATGCTGAGTCCAGCAGTGAGCCTCCCATGCTGGGATCCTGGTGGGTCAGGATCCCAGCAGGATGTGGATGTGGCTGTGATCTCTCAGCCCTGGCAGTGCAAGGCTGAGAGACCATGGCAGCTACAATGTCCCAGCCTCAGGGTTTTCACACACAAGTCTAGGCTGGGAGATCAAAGCCTCCCAGCTGCAGGGGTCTGTAGGGCAATCCCAGGGTTGAGAGGCTCCCAGCCAACACAAGCTGGCTTCTTCCCAGTGCAGGGGAAGCCCAGGATCTGGTGTGCACTCCCCCAATCACACCCCCTGTCATGGCAGATGTGACTGTGTGGGTCACGTCTTAGATCCCATCGCACCTTCACCTGCATGTGCAGAAGGGCCCTCACATACATCATAGCAGCAGCAGGATAAAGCGTTCTCTAGCACATACTTCTGACTTTGTGTCCCCTACTACGGGCTGGGGTGAAGAGGCCCTTCAGCAACCTCCTCGAGGGTTCAGCTCAGGGCTGCTGGGGTGCGAACAGACACAAACAAAAGAGGTACTTCTCTATCCCCTCATACCGCAAGAGGAGACTCCTCCTGGCTCTGGAGACCTTTATGCCGAGGAGTTGGTTCGTGGAGGAGCACAACCTCAATACACCCCCTCGCGCCACAGGCCCCCCTGCACGAGCGGGTGGGGGGGCGGCAGCGCCCATCACCGCCGGCTTCGTCCCGCTGCAAAGCCAAGGCCTGCAGGGAGGGAGCGGTGCAGCGCTTCCTTCTCTTCCCCCCCAGAGCTGCACCCGCTACCCAGAGGGCGGCCATACAGCACCACCAGGGCCCAACCCCGACCCCCGCCAGCCCTCAGCGCCGCGCCGCCAGGACCCGAGCGAGCGGCCAGTCTCGCTGAGGTCGGCACAGCTGCCCCTTGGCCGGGAGTCGCCCGCCCCCAACCTGCTCTTACCCGCTGCCGCCGGGAACCGCATCCCCGGCTCGGCCCGGCCCAGCTCCGCCCCGCGCCACCGGATCCGCTTCCAGTGCGAGCCGCGGGACCCGGCTGCCGATGAGTTTCCGGGTCGGCGGCCTGAGCTGCTGCTGCTGCCGCCGCCGCCGGTGGCTGGGCGCTGTAGCGGGCGGAGCTGAACGGGGCGGCGCCGGGGCACGAGGGGCAGCTGA